TTGTCACTATTGCTCATATTGGATTGACTATGTTTAGTTCTCTTGAATGATGAAAGAAGGCCAAACGTAGCATTTCTGCACCTCGACCAATGTGGATGAAGATATTATGTAAGCAAGATGGGAATACTTTTTCATCCTTTCTTTCGGGATCTTATAAATAGATTCTCTGCAAAACGGAATTTGCGCACTTGCCAGAAAAGACAGATTCGTGGTTTTACGAAAATTTTAACGATAGAACTTATTGATTTTCATACTTGAACTATGTTTTTTACTAATTCAATGATATGAGCAGGAAAGATGATATCGGGAAGACTGAATTGACAAAGTTATTTAGTCTTACCAGTTTGACAAAATTGTCCATATTGACTTCTCTTCTCCGAAGGCGTTGAAAACTCTAGACTCCTTTCCTGATTACTGACTGAAAAACGTCTGAAGACCGGCAGCATTATATACTCACTGTTCACTAAAAATACGTTCTTGCACCTAAGAGAAACTCACCACAGGAGGCAGGAAAGAAGTTAGTCGTGTTACCTTAAGTGTTAAACAAAAGACTGAAGTATGATAATAATTTGAATACAGGACTTCACCGTTAGAACTTATTTTATCCTTACAAGCAGTTTTTAAACTGACATTTAAAAGCCAAATTTCTTTTTCTTTTCTTTTCTCCATTTTTTTATTATGAATTTTCTTTTTTCACTTAAAGGCAGATGGTTGAATTCACTAAACGGAAAAATCGTTTAGGAAAATTGAATAGTGAAATTCAATTGAAAGTTAATGTTGCATAAAATTCCTCGCACTATAAGAAATCTCAGTTTCAGCTCTGAAACAATTAGCCAACGACTTAAACAAACTACGTTGTTGCATAACGAGCAAGCATCCGGCAGGCTTCCGTTAGGCTCCAACCTTTCACTTATTTTTATCTTAGAGCTACTTGGTAACTGAAATTCCTCTGGCTAGAAAATTGCACATATTGATTTCTGCGGATTAAATTATTAATAAATTTAAATTATTAAATTTTGTTATTTATTCCAAGTGAAAAAGTATAATGTCTTAAGCTTATAAGCTTAAACCATAACTTTTGAGAACACGAAATAGAGATTATGATTAATTTTTAGAAAAGTGCTTTGTACTTTATTATTTAATGAGTGAATCATTCAGCCGGATTAACCAGAAATTTTAAGTGCATTCTTCCAGGAAAAATCGACATGCCTTGAGGAGTTCTAGACTCAAGGACTCTTTTTTTCCTAGTACATGAACCCTTACAACTGAAATGAAAGGAATCTGTATCGTAACAGGAAGAACGAAGAGAAATACTCGATAGTTTTTATCTTTGTTGCCCGGCGGCACTCGATATAAACTCTTCCCGAAATTAATTTCTTTGTTTTGTGTTAATGTTTCGTTTTTATTTTTAAATAGATATTTTAGGACGAACATAATTCTTTGATCAATATCTTAATACGAACAAATCTAGATCAACCTGACTTTTAATTTACAGTATCAAAGAAATTATTCGTCACTGTTTTCAGATTATTTTTTGAGGTTGTTTTGAGTTTCTGAGCCTTGAAACAAATAGCCAACTAGTCAGCAACAAACTATGGATTGCCAGTAGAAAAAGAGCGAGCTTCCATCAGGCTGCTACGGTTAGGCTCCAAATTTATCTCCTATTTTTAACGATACGCAATTAGAAACACTGAGAAAACACGATGACACCACTGATGATGACGCCACTTTCCTACGACTACCAGAGTCCTCAAGTTCAGTTTGTCGTTTTCTTGTGCTAATTAGGGCTATTGTTTTTGAAATCTCAGCGGTATTGGCAAATTTACATGCAAATAAAAATAAGAAAGCAAAACTGAAATGAATTCTGCTATTTGTAGTCAAATGTCGTCATCGTGAAAGTGGCCTAATTTAAAGGGCTTTGTTTGTGCGCACCAAAGTATGCAACAAGGCGAAGTGCGCTCTCTCTTATTCGAGTTTTTTGAATAAAACCTGAACCCCAGATTGGTTTCGTTTGTTTGCATGAAACAGTTCAGGTAATAGCCATTACAGACAATAAATAAATAAACAGAAAAAAAAATCTTCCAGATAATGATGTTCGATGGGTCCAAGAATGATTCATTTGTTGTCTCAATGATATGCCGCTTCTTTAGCTTATATAGAGCTATGGTACAAGTTTGCTTTAGCGGCAAGATTGTATATATTGATGTTGCAGATTTTATTCATTTTTGTTGTTTTTTCATTTCAAATGAAACAATATTGTCTTCCGCAAAGTTCGCAGCTCAAACCATGACTCTTTTGCAAAAAATGAAAAACAAAAAGAAGTGGTAGTTAGAATGTAAAAGTCATTTCGTATTTTCTACCTCGTGAATTACTTGTTAACTTGTTGTTAGAAAATAAAAAGAATTCCAATAAGCTGCCCCAGTTGTATTTAACAGTCACTTGGTACAAAAGGCGTTAGTTCCAAATTCATGGGTCAAGGGTGTGCACCAATAGCACTCCACTATCGGAGATGATTATTTTTAGCCGATAAGGGTTAATGTAAAGGACGATTTCAGACTCAGTTTGATACGTGAGATCAAACGGCAGGCTTAAAAACTTTAAGAGGCACATACTTGGTTATGGAATCAAGAAATCGCCATGAACGGAAAACAAATGAGACTGGTAAGTTTTTATCCACTGCTTTTTCTTTTTCTTAGTTAGTTCGATTTTTGACTGTATTTAATACCTTCCCCAGTCTTATACACGACATTCTCAACAGGAGGATCTTTCCAGTTTGCTATTAATGCAAATTATTTAAATGGATCATTTCTGTGTTGCCCCAAGCCTCTGTTTCAAAGCGAGGCTAAGTGCAAAGCCATTGATATAAAATGTATTTGTTATTGTCATGCAAATGAAACTCATTTTCTCAAAAAGGCGGCAACTCGATTAGAATACATGTGGTAATATATGACGATGCGAAATTTTTCCATGAGCTCCTTTTATTGGCGTTATTTTATGTCGCCAAGAAAAGTTAGCCTAAGTGGCTTAAATATAGGGAAGAAAAGGCGGTCTCCCTCCCGGGGGGTGGACTCCGCATATGAAAGGGGTGGGGATGCTCGTCGTCTCGCTTAGGGGGTGTAAATTTCGTATTTTGATCTCACTTAGGGTGTTCTGGGCAAAACGCCATCATATTTAGCCGTGAAGGTCTTGTTTATGGTTGCAAGAGAAAAAATAAAAATTCAAACTCTCCTATACACCAACCTCTACTAGGAAGACGTGCATTGCAAGAATCATACCAATTACTATTTGTAACAAAACGTACAATGTTGCACTTTTTAAGCAAAAAAAGAACGGTTGTAAAGGAACGCATGCCAGAGAAAGATTACTGTAACTTTTCCAACATGCTGTAAAGGAAACGACACCACATCCGTGTCATTGCCGTATGATTGTTCTTGAAGTGAAGGAGACTGTTTTTAGCTCGTTCGATTGACTTTCTTCCTTATCATGAACGCAACCCAGTTATTATTTGCGTCCTAATGTTTTAAATTCTAGCTTTTAAAAATGGAATATTTTGACTTATTTATCATTCCAGTGGTTTCATAGCAAAGATATAAAAACTGTGTTAAAATGATGAGAATGCGGAATGAATACAATACAACAAAGCAACAGCATAAGAAATCAAAGCTAGGATAATAATAATAGTAATAATAATAATGGTAATAATGATGATGATCATAATATTTTATTATTATTATTATCATTGTTATTATTAATTCATTAGTCTGTTCGAAGCTCCGAAATAGTCGGATCCGCGAAATTGAGAAAGCGATCACGCGCTTATATTTTCGCGCGCCTTACACTTACTCGTCATCCCTACTATCTGACAACCTCGTTCCCAGGGTTTTCTCCTACCCGCCCTTCTCGCTTCGTAGGGCGGGTAGGAGAGAACCCTGGGAACGAGGTTGACTATCTGCGATCCTGGAACAGGCTATTATTGTTTTTATTTGGCGTTTATCCTAACTCCACAAGCGTCTCACATTGATAACAAAAAAAAATCAACTTTAAAAATATGTACAGTCAAATATGAAAAGTTAAAAGCCTAAAAATTACCATAAAAGTTAAAATATAACTACAATCGGCAACAAAATTAGTTGAGACACTTCGCCCTTAAAGGGCTTTCTAATGTTTTACTGACTTCAAAACAGGAAAATAAAGCTTTTCCCTCCCCATCCGGTCCCCTCCACCCAATGTTGTCCCACTGTTCATATTAATAGATGTCTTAGATTTCACCAAGTATTAACGCTAGATCATCTTCGGTCTCCGTTATCCGTTTTTAATGACTGTCAATGTACGATTGAATAAAAGTTAACCATTGTGAAGATTTGTTCGTTTGTTCGTTCGTTCGTTCATTTGTAACAAGATAAATTAAATTGTGGAATGTTATTGGGCGTTTCTACGTCTCGATCATCATTATCAAGAATAAAGAGCCTTGAGATGTCAAAGTTGTTTTAGCTACTTAAAAAAGAAGCTAAAAGAGTTGACTTGAAGTCCCGTAACGGTTTTCATTCTTGGTAATGATGTTCGAAACACCGAAACGTTGAATAACGTTCTTCAGTTTAATTTTTCTTGTTAAATGCTTCAACTTGACAAGCACCTAATCATCCGATCTTTATTTTATCAGTATTTGTGTGTCAATTCAGGTAGACACTTTTTGGCGTTGCCTGAGTTTTGGGAAATGGATTTACCCTTGACGTGCCCAGGAGTTGTCGACAGATAACATCGTTTCCCGGGAGGTTTGTAACTGAAAAAATATTAATCATTGAATCTACGAAAGCTCTGTGTTTTTTTTTTTTCCGATAAACTTTATTTATATTTATCTTTTTAACACCATTGTTGTATACCTCTTGAGGGGCTCTGATACGTTATATTAAATATTATATTCTTATTGCAACGTTCAAAATGCAGATAATGGATGTTGTTCATTGTATATGGGGAACAAGCTACCAACAGTCTCCTCCACTTTAAGAACAACCGCCTGGTAATGCAACGGATGTAGTGTGGTTTCCTCTACAGCATGTTCGGTAAGTCACAGTTATCATCTTCGGGACTCCACTGCAACCGTTCTGTTTCTTACAAAGTGCAACATTGTACATTTTGTTACAAATAGTTATTGGGATGATTTTTTCAATGCACGTCTTCCTAGTAGAGGTTGGTGTATACCCAGGAGAGTCAGCAGTGATCCTTGGTATCATGATATGATTGCATTTGGTGTTGTCTTGTTTACCTGTAGGACCTTGGGGTTTGGCTTCAACTTTTCCTGTAGAACTAAGGATCGTAGCCAAGCAAAAAGTAACTGCAAAGATGTGGATGACCTAAGTGAATCCAAAGGATAGATGCAAAAAAGTAAATTCCTTTTTACTCTGTAATTATACCAAGCGAACTTACTATGGGCTTTAAAACTTTTTTTTATCTAAAATAGCTGATTTTGTCATTATTGCCCGTATTGGATTGACTATGTTTAGTTCTGTTAAATGATGATGAAAGAAGGCCAAACGTAGTATTTCTGCACCTCGACTAATCTGAATGAAGACAGTATGTAAGCAAGATGGGCATACTTTTTCATCCTTTCTTTCGGGATCTTATTAATAGATTCTCTGCAAACGGAATTTGAGTACTTGCCAGAAAAGACAGATTCATAGTTTTAAGAAAATTTTAACGATAGAACTTATTGATTTTCATACTTGAACTATGTTTTTTACTAATTCAATGATATGAGCAGGAAAGATGATATCGGGAAGACTGAATTGACAAAGTTATTTAGTCTTACCAGTTTGACAAAATTGTCCATATTGACTTCTCTTCTCCGAAGGCGTTGAAAACTCCAGACTCTTTTCCTGATTACTGACTGAAAAACGTCTGAAGACCGGCAGCATTATATACTCACTGTTCACTAAAAATACGTTCTTACACCTTAGAGAAACTCACCACAGGAGGCAGGAAAGAAGTTAGTCGTGTTACCTTAAGTGTTAAACAAAAGACTGAAGTATGATAATAATTTGAATACAGGACTTTAGCAATTGCTACCCGTTATTATTTCATCCTTACAAGCAGTTTTTAAACTGACATTTAAAAGCCAAATTTCTTTTTTCTTTTCTTTTCTCCATTTAATTTATTATTATTTTTTTTTTTTTCACTTAAAGCTAGATGGTTGAATTCACTAAACGGAAAAATCGTTTAGGAAAATTGAATAGTGAAATTCAATTGAAAGTTAATGTTGCATAAAATTCCTCGAACTATAAGAAATCTCAGTTTCAGCTCTGAAACAATTAGCCAACGACTTAAACAAACCAAGTATCGTTGTTGCATAACGAGCAAGCTATCAGAAGGCCTTCCGTTATGCTCTAACCTTTCACTTATTTTTAACTTACAGCTACTGGGTAACTGAAATTCCTCTGGCTAGATAATTGGACATATTAAATGCTGCGGATTTTATTAAATTTTGTTATTTATTCAGACTGAAAAAGTATAATGTCTCAAGCTTATAAGCTTAAACCGTAACTTTTGAGAACACGAAATAGAGATTATGATTAATTTTTAGAAAAGTGCTTTGTACTTTATTATTTAACGAGTGAATCATTCAGCCGGATTAACCAGAAATTTTAAGTGCATTCTTTCAGGAAAAATCGACATGCCTTGAGGAGTTCTAGACTCAGGGACTCTTTTTTTCCTAGTACATGAACCCTTACAACTGAAATGAAAGGAATCTGTATCGTAACATAACAGGAAGAACGAAGAAAAATACTCGATAGTTTTTATCTTTGTTGCCCGGGGGTGCACTCGATGTAAACTCTTCCCAAAATTAATTTCTTTGTTTTGTGTTATTGTTTCGTTTTAATTTTTAAATAGATATTTTAGGACGAACATAATTCTTTGATCAATATCTTAATACAAACGAATCTGGATAAACCTGACCTTTAATTTACAGTATCAAAGAAATAATTCATCACTGTTTTCAGATTATTTTTTGAGGTTGTTTTGAGTTTCTGAGCTTTGAAACAAATAGCCAACTACTTCAAAAAACTATGGATTGCCGGTAGAGAACGAGCGAGCTTCCATCAGCAGGCTTACGTTAGGCTCCAAATTTATCACTTATTTGTAACGAAATGCAATTAGAAAGACTGTTAAATCTCAGGGTATAGGCAAATTTACATGTAAATGTAAATAAGAAAGCAAAACTGAAATGAATTCTGGTAGTTGTAGTCAAATGTCATCATCGTAAAAGTGGCCTAATTTAAAGGGCTTTGTTTGTGCGCACTAAAGTATGCAATAAGGCGAAGTGTGTTGTCTCTTATTCGATTTTTTTGAATAAAACCTGAACCCCTGATTAGTTTGGTTTGTTGACTTGAAATATTTCAGGTAATAGCCATTACATATAAATATTTTTGTACGCATTGCTTGATTTGACGAAAAGATCAATTCTCCCAGATAATGATGTTCTATAGGTCCAAGAATGACTCATTTGTTGTCTGAATGATATGCCACTTCCTTAACTTATATAGAGCTATGGTATAATTTTGCTTTAGCTGCAAGATTGTATATATTGAATGTTGCAGATTTTATTCATGTTTATTGTTTTTTAATTTTTCAATGAAACAATACTGTCTTCCGCAAAGTTCGCAGCTCAAACCATGACCCTTTTTTCAAAAAATGAAAAAGAAAAAGAAGTGGTAGTTAGAATGTAAAAGTCATTTCGTATTTTCTACCTCGTGAATTACTTGTTAACTTGTTGTTAGAAAATAAAAAGAATTCCAATAAGCTGCTCCAGTTGTATTTAACAATCACTTGGTACAAAAGGCGTTAGACGTGAATACCGTCGCAAATGCATGGGTCAAGGGTGTGCTCCAATGACACTCCACTATTGAGCAGGGAAAACAAAGTCCGTTTACAAAGATGAAGTCTAGAATTAGACAGGGAGACAATACAAGTTCCCAGCCTGCTTTCAGGTTTTGATTCAGCAGGGTATCACGGGGTCCATGTGCCAAACTCAGCACTTTTTATGCGGAAAATGATATAATTATGTTGTTCATGTTTGAGGTTGAATAATAATAAGTCAAAGCGTCTCAGTTTAAAATCGAGACATGTATTCCCTTGTCATTTACAGAGTTATGCTACACTTTCGGGTATGGTTAGTTTAGATCAATGAAAGTTTTCAAATCGAAAGTTTTTTGTAATTCATTGTTTTCATTGGTCGCTCTTTAATAACAAATGATTAAATTATAATTAACCTACCACCTCAGGTATGCTTCGACGGACACAAAGAACAAATTATCTAATAACAAAAGAATACTAAAGTACTGACAAAACTTCCGTTAAATCCTATTACGAAACCAAATCCGTTGATTGGACTTTTCTCTATATTGTTTTTCGTTTCTTTGTTATAAGCCCTGAATCTGACGTAATGAAAACTTTCTACAGGCTATCTTGTACGAATTAGGTAAATGATATTTATAAACTTGTCGAACAAAATCCCCTTACTATGAAACTATCGTGAGCATCATTATCCGTAGAATCAATATTGCGTTTAAGTGATTAAATGCAAACGAACTGAATATTAATAGAGTAAAGGTACTTTACAAAGTTTACTAATAAATTAATATACAGTGAAATTTGTCTTAAAGGATACTGAAAACAACTTCAGTTTTGTCTTATGCAAGCAAAAAATGACTAATCAAAACAAGGCTATAAAAGAAGGATCACACTCGCCAAACGTAACGAGAAGTGTTAAGCGACAGTTTCAGGGAGCCAACAATGTTCAAGTTTGCGTTGGTGGTGAGTAAACATTTTCTCGTCCAATGTTTTTTTTATGTTTATTTTCCTGAGTTTTAGATTTGGGATTGATTTTTTTTTTCTCTTCTGGTTTCGTGGTAGTGGTTATTATTAATTTCTTGCTTTATTACATTGCAATCAAATCAATTATTTTGAAAAGCTCGTCTTCAGTGACTTTAACTGATGTTGTGTTACTTTTTATTATGATTTGATCACAACTGATATTTCAGTAGTTCTTTTTAGTGTAGTAATGTGTCGTAATCTTTTCTATAAGCTAAGAATCTCAATATATACACTTAGCGACTACAAAAAACAAGTGTATTTAAGCTATCGTTGT